AAATCCTTGATCACAATTATTATTTAATATATTATTATTACGGTATTAATTGTCCAGCACATCGACCAGGTAACACTAACAGGCCAACTTTCTACTATAAACGAAATCAGTCCCATCCCTGAGCACATGCCATTTCAAAACGAAGAATATAATTTACATATGGATTATCTAAAAGTATTAACACAACGTGAAAGCATTGCTTCCGCAGATCCATGGACAAAGTACAAACCATTTGCAGAACACAAAAAAGATCACATTTACAACTTCCTTTCAGGTATCCTGACCGATTTAAAGAATGATGATTACGTAATAGATAATAATGTATTCTATCATTGCATTACGATTCTAGAAAATACCATTCATAATTATGATACAACTCTTAGTTTTCTATAACTTGAGGAAATGGCAATTGCTTGCATGTGCCTTGCTCTCAAGTGTGCCGACAGATATCAAGCACGCCACATCATCCCATATGCTTGTGAATGCATCCAGGGTGGATACTTTAAACCACAAGTAATTGCCCAAGCAGAAGCTAAAATATTTTAAACTTCAAACTTAATACAGTAACCTGCTTAGATTTTGTACATGTACAATGCGACATAGCAATTAGTAGAACGGACATCACATGTGATAAGATGAGAATACATGAAATTAGACGAAACGCTTTGAGAAACTTGGTTGACAACGTTTTCAAGCAGTCGTTCAGATCAGTTAGGCCCTCAACGATGGCATTTTCCATTTTGCTTTCCTCTTGCCAGCAAATGGAGATTGACTTCGACTCCATTTTTCCTGATGTGTAGAAAAATTTAAAGGCAAATACAAATGCAAATAAATAAATAATAATTACATTTCTATAATTAAAACTTAATAACCATGTGGGTATGCAAAAGTTAGATTTCTACTTAAAAATCTGATTATTCAACAAAATAACGGTTGCTTTCTCGTAATCATAAGCGTCAGTGTAAACATTCGCAATTAATTAAAGGAACAACTCTTCATGTAGTGTGTTAAAACAAATCTCAGTTAAATAATTATTGTATGAATAAGTGTATTTTTATGTAAGTACACACGAATTAAATAATTTAATATCCTTAAAAGTTTATCCTTATTTTAAGTACTTTTGAAATTGGGACCATACAAATAACGAATTCTGTATTGAAATTTAGAATGTAGAGTACGTTATAATACCGGTAGTTATGACGGTCTTGGTAGTGGAAGTAGTAGTGGTAGTGATTGCAGCATGAGTAGCAGTAGTAATAGTGGTTGTGGTAGCAGTAGTAGTGCTGGTGATCAGTGTAGAATAGTGATGGATGTGATTTGTTGTGATGGTGGTGGTAGCAGTCGTCTGGGTAGTGATTGAAGTAGTAGTACTAGTTAAGTAGTATTTGTAGTGGTAGTTATAGTGGCATCTTTAAAGGCAGTGGTAGTATTAATAGTGCTAATGGTACTGTAAGGGTAGTTCTAGGCAGGGACTTTATAAAGCTAAGGGTAATAATCTGTAATGATAATGGTAATTGTAATAGTAACGGTAACCGCAACGATAACGATTCAAATGATAACGAATAATTGATGATAATAGTAATGGTTATGTTAATTATAACAATAATAATGATTGTTAATAATGTTAATAACAATAACAATATTAATAATAATAACAATAACAATAATAACAATAATAATAACAATGTTAATAATAATAAATTTGGAATATCAGTCATAACAACAGTCATTAACAACAGTCATTATATATAATTAATATATAAAATATTCTATTTTATAATATTAATAATATAAATAATGATAATATAACGACAATAATAATAATAATAATGATAATAATAATAATATAATAAATAACAAAAAAAATAGTCATAACACCAATCATTATAATTATATAATATTAAATATGATGATATTGATAACGACAATAATAGTAACACCAATAACACTAACATAATAATACTTATTATTATATATTATTGTTATTATTATTATTACTAAATAAATAATAGTAAATTAAAACCAAAATATTAGTGACAACAATCGTTATTAACTCTAATAATGAAATGACTAAAGTATTTGTTAGGCCTATAAGGAAATAGCACTATATCATAATACTGTATAATATAATAAACATAGGCTATAATATAGGAAAATAAAATAATTTCCCGTCTGAAGTCGGAGATGCTACCTCAACGTGGTAGACTGGTGTCAACATCACTGGTAACGAAATGGTACCAATGATGGCCAACAGCATCACGCTTTGTAGGGCTAAATAAAGGTGTACCATACTTTTTGTAGCCAGCTAACTGAATAATTGATCTGGAAGAAATACTAAATCTGTAATAAATAGTGCAATTTATTCAAAATGGGATAATGGAATATCTGTCTATGAACTTTAATTTCTCAATATCTTTTTGTCTTTGTCTTCGGGCAACCGGGAAATACTACCGGTACCGTACCTTATACTAGTATAGTACTGCGTACTATATTAAATTGTACCAGGGACATATAATGCCTGGGATCAAAGGAAATACGCGGTATATTTTCTTCACCTAAAACACGAGGGCAGTGCTCAAAATCAGATTTTAAGCTCATGCAAACACTCCAATAGAGGTTTTGCGGCCTAAGACAATAGAACGCATTTTAACTTGGAGGCCTTTTGGAGGTTTGGATATTGATGTAAAGTGCATACAAACAAATCCAAGATCAGAGATTTTATAACTACACTACCATCATTTTTAAAAACGATAATTTCTTTTAACAGATCACACTCAGAGTTGTTTTACAGTGTTTGCGCCGAACTCTACATTTGGTTAATTTACCAAAGAAATAAATGTTGGCAAGTGCCCATAAACCAACACATTTCATTACATGATAGAGTGGAAAATTTATTCTATCTTTATTATATATATATGTATGTAATCTTTAATTATTAGGAAAATCCGTAACTTGTTCCATTCCCACGAAAGTTAAAAAATACTCTTTGGTAGGGAATATTTGAAGTATTTTCACATTTAAGTGGGTTGTTTGTTGGGGAGGGGTCACTGGGATGAGTAGAGTAGATTTTGTGCTCTCGTGAGGAAGATGAACATATAGATGAGGGAAATGTATGCTTTCAGGGATGTTCGGTATTCAGTTTTTTTTAAATTTTAATTTATTTGTTTTCTAGTTTAATTCATTTTCCATTTTTAATGAATTAAGGGTCACTCAGGGAATTGACATGGCCATTTTGGCCGTCATTTCGCTTCTATTTAGGCATCATTTCCTAATAATACTTTTATGAGGGTGGGTGTTGGATGGGGATTGCCTTGGCAATTGCTTGAGTGACGTTTACAGTACTTCACTTGTTTTAAGACATTGTTTTCTTTAACTGTTTTCCGTTTGTAATTTTATTTGCCGTTTATGTTTACATATATTTCTGGACGCACCTTTATTATGTCACTGTTTCAAAATGGTAGTTTTCGAATAAATTATTATTATTTATTTAAAAATCCCCATAAAAATTATCAGTTTATCACCCCCTCCCTCATCACTTTTTTATTTTTTTTTTTCAATCAACATATAGGCAAGACCTATTTATATTTCAAACGGTCGTTTTTCAATCTTTTTTCACTTGAAAAGTTCTGAATTTCTTGCAAATAGTCCTAGTTTATTGGTACAACAAAAACATATTTATTTAATATAAATTTGACTCCATCCTTATGAATTTTTATATAGACTTATGTGTCCCTAACCATTGATTTACTTGTGAGCATCGGTAAAATGGGGGCGAGGTTGGGAAGAAAAAAAAAAAAAAAAAAAAAAAAAAAAAAAACCTGCCTCCCTCATTAGTTTTTATTGTTTGATAGGGTTATAAACTAATAATTTTTTTTTATGGGGCACTATTATTATTCATGGTGTTTCAGAAACCAAACCAATGTTTTTTTGGTGGGTTTTTTAGCATTAAAGTTACTGCAGTAGGCCCCCTACTTTTTGCCAAATCACAAAAACATGTTAGCTGCCCTCTATAAAGATAAGAAAGAAGGCGTTACACTGGCGTTACCAGCATAATGTATGGAACGCCGTTACTGCCTTTGGTGGCTCTTTTCCGTTCGGCGCATTTGTTATTCGGCCCTTTTAACATTACGTTCGGTGCTTTTACATTACGTTCGGTGCTTTTTACATTACGTTCGGTGC